TATATATATATATATATATTATATATATATATATATATGTGTGTGTGTGTGTGTGTGTGTGTGTGTGTGTGTGTGTGTGTGTGTGTGTGTGTGTGTGTGGTGTGTGTGTGTGTGTGTGTGTATATATATATATATATATATATATATATATATATATATATATATATATATTTAACACACATACACACACGCACACGCGCACACGCACCGCACGCACACGCACGCACGCACGCACGCACGCACGCACGCACGCACGCACGCACACGCACGCACACACACACACACACACACACACACACACACACACACACACACACACACACACACACACACACACATACATACATACATACATACATACATACATACATACACACACACACACACACACACACACACACACACACACACACACACACACACACACACACACACACACACACACACAACACACACACACACACACACACACACACACACACACACACACACACACACACACACACACACACACACACACACACACACACACACACATACATATTATATATATATATATATATATATATATATATATATATATATATATATACATTTACCAACCAACCTACCTACCTACCTGCCTGCCTGCCTGCCTGCCTACCTACGTATCTTTATATCTGTGTGTAAATAGAATTACAGATAGACACATTTGTATCTGCGCATTGCTTCCCACTCCTGTTCAAGTCACTCACTGCGCTATTCGAAGTGCACGCAATACGAACGCCGCTATCAATACAACACAGCAACACTGCATTACTTCACACTGATTTTTCCGTGTCCGAGCCAGACCCTAAACCACGCAGGATGTCTAAGATACTACGCCAGCCTCGTCCTTTGTTCCATTCTACTCTCTCTCTCTCTCTCTCTCTCTCTCTCTCTCTCTCTCTCTCTCTCTCTCTCTCTCTCTCTCTCTCTCTCTCTCTCTCTCTCTCTCTCTCTCTTCTCTCTCTCTCTCTCTTCTATCTCTTCTCTCTCTCTCTCTCTCTCTCTCTCTCATTCATTCATTTTTCTTTTCCTTCTCTCTCTCTCTCTCTCTTTCATTCATTTTTCTTTTTCTTTTCTTTCTCTCTCTCATTCATTCATTTTTTCTTTGTCTTTTCTCTCATTCTCTCATTCATTCCTTTTTCTTTTTCTTTCTTCTCTCTCTCTCGTTCATTCCTTTTTCATTTTCTTTTTTTCTCTCTCTCATGCATTACGTTTTCTTCTCTCTCGCTCTCTCTCTCTCATTTATTCCGTTTTCTTTTCTCTCTCTTTTCTCTCATTCAGTTTCCTTTTCTTTCTCTCTCTCCTTCACCGGCTCCTCCTTTCACAGAGCGAGAGGACTATATACACACGGCGCTCGGCCTCCCATTCACCCGGCTTCATTTAGTTCGCTTCTCATGGTGTGAATTACGCGTTCTGATGCCCCGGTACCTGGCCCGGACTCCCCCCCCCCCCAAGGCCTTATCTGCCCTGGTCTCTTTCTTTGCAGATTTTGAGGGGCTCTGGCTTGCGCTTGGCTGTCTGGCTGCGTGTCTGTGGATGGCTGGGCGCGTGTCTGTGGATGTTTGGGTGCCTTTTTGTCTGTGTGGATATTTGTCTGTCCGTTTTAGTGAATTATTTTTTCTGTCTATTTGAGTGGCTTTAGTCTGTCAGTTTGAGTGGCTTTTTGTTTGTCTTTGAGTGGATTTTTGTCTGTCCGTTTGGTAACTTTGTCAGTCTGTTTGAGTGGCTTTTTGTCTGTCTGTTTGCGAGGCTTTTGGCGTGTCTTTTAGAGTGACTTTTTGTCTGTCCGTTTAAATGACTTTTTATCTGTCTTTTTGCGTGGATATCTTTGTCTGTCTGTACGAGTGACTTTTTGTCTGTCCGTTTGAGTGTTATTCTGTTAATCTGTCTGTTTTTATATCTGTTAGTCTGAATTCGTAAATGGCTGACTTTCTATCTTCTCATTCTTTCTTAGCTGTTTCTTGACCTGCACTGACACTTTTGTTGGTATAAATATCGATTTTCTCACTCTGGTTCTCTATTTAGCTTACAATGATAATAATAATAACAATAATAATAATAATGATAGTAATATTAATGATAATAATAGTAATAATGATAATAATAATAATAATAATAATAATAGTTTCAGTCTGTCTGTCAGTGTATCTTTCCATCTATCTGTCTAAATGCCTTTATATTTGCTTGTTTGATTGTCTCTTTGTTTGTCTTTCCGTTGTCTTCCTGTCTACTTTTTTTTTTTTTTTTTTTGTCTCCTGTGCACTCGCTCGCTTGTCTCGGTTGGTTAAGCTCGATTAAACGAGATGAAGTTAGGCTCTCTCCTCCTCGCTCGCATCAATTTGCGCATTTGTCTCCCTCGTGCATCTCCTCCTCTGCCTTGCCCTTGGTCGTGTTCTTGTTGTTTTCTTCTTGTTCTTCTTCGCCTTTTCGTATTGTTATTGTTATTGTATTATTATTATTATTATTATCATTATTATTATTGTTATTACTATTATTACTATTATCTTTATTATCATTATTATTAATATTATTATTATTATCACTATTATTATGATTATTATTATCATTGTTATTTTTATTATTATCATCATCATTATTGTTATTATTATTGTCATTATTATTATCATTATCATTATCATCATCATCATCATCATCATCATCATCAACATCATCACCATCACCATCACCATCACCATCACCATCAACATCAACATCAACATCAACATCAACATCAACATCAACATTAACATCATCATCATCATCATCATCATCATTATTATTATTGATATCATTACTATTGCTGTTACAATCATTATCATCATAATTATTTTAATTATTATTCTTATGATAATAATAAATAATAATAATGATGAGGATTCTAATAATGATTTTAATGATGATAACAAATTATTATCATTGTTATCACCGTTATCACTATCGTTCGTTCGTTCGTTCGTCAGACCAGAACCTGTCTAGCTTCCTCCTTGGCTCTTCTTTTATTCTCATCCACCTTTTAACATATTCATCGTTCGCTTGCGGTTAATCTTGTATTCATAGCTCTTCCTCCTTTCGTCTGTTCTCTTCTTTCTTCCTTTTCATCAATATCTTCGTTATTTTGTTCCTTTGTTCATTCCTTTCTCTCTTTTTTTTACTTCATTTTTTTTAAATTTTCTCCCTCCGTTTCTTCTTCCATTCCGCTTTCCTTCTTTCCTTCATACGTTTCTTCCTTTCTCCCTTCCTTCCTTCCATCCATCCATCCTTTTATTTTTCTTCCTTCCTTTCTTTCTCCCTCTTTCATCCATCTTTTATTCTTTCTTTCTTCCTTTCTTCCTACCTACCATCCATCCATCCTCTACCTCTCCCTCCCTCCCCTCCCTCCCCCCCTCCTCTCACTCTCCTCTCTCTCTCTCTCTCTCTCTCTCTCTCTCTCTCTCTCTCTCTCTCTCTCTCTCTCTCTCTCTCTCTCTCTCTCTCTCTCTCTCTCTCTCTCTCCTCTCTCTCTCTCTCCTCTTCACCCTCCCTCCCCCTCCCTCTCTCTCTCTTTCTCCCTCCTTCTCTCTCTCTCTCTTCTCTCTCTCTCTCTTTCTCTCTCTTTCTCAATATGCCTGGCTGGCTGTCTGAGGAAAAGAGGGAAAGGAAAATAATACCAAGACTGACGGGATCTTAATCCAGTAAGCAACCCAAAAGAGGGCGGGAAGTACACAAAGGCATGCAATGTAAGTATGTTTTGAATGCATTTATATATTGTATGCATGTGTGTGTGTATGTTTTGAAGTATTTGTGCATATATATGAGTGTTTGCATGTATGTATGTATGCATGTCTGCTTATATGTATGTATATGTATGTATGTATGTTGTATGTATGTATGTGTTTCGTATATGTATATAAGTTATTCATTTAATGATAATGATGATGGTACTAACAATAATAATGAAAACAATGATTACAATAATTTTGATAAAGAAAAAAAAATATTGATAAGTTGACTCTTGGAATGTTATCAACTATAGTGCGTTTAATTTCAGGAAATATAAAAAACTGTCAACTCAGATTCTGTAATACTCCGATTCACGTTCTTTTTTTTTTTTTTTTTCTCTTCACGTTTTTTTTTTTTTAAATTCTAAACTGCTGGTGCTTAATACTTACATTTACATAAGTTTTGTATTTCTAAAATTAATATACAGTTTTTCCTTATTATTATCAATCAACTTTTCCCCTCCAGCACCACATTATCCTTTTATCTCCAAATAAACTTGGCGAATCGAAGTGTTCTAGAGGCAGAGGTGAGTTGCCAGTTTTTCCTTATCCTGAGATCGGACGGAGCGCGACGTCTCCTCGGCGAAATATCTCATTCGCTCCATCACAGGGAAGCTCTGAATGCAACATAACCTTCTGGAGAAAGACCCCTTATCGCTCACTCTCATTGTTTGTGCATCTGTGCCTTTGACTCCTTCGTCAGGTAAAGAGGTCCTTTGGGATATCCTGTTTGTACGGCGTCTGCGGGAGGGAAACCTAGTCCGCAGGAAATGAGTATTCCCTGCTAACGGTTATTTCCCGAAGAACACCTGCGATGGGAAAGCTCCCCAGGGGAACTCGTGCCCCTGGGTGTCTCTCGGAAAGAGGCTACCAGTGGATTACATCTCTCCCTCTCCCCTCCCTTCCCCTCCTCTCTCTTTCTTTCTCTCTCATCTCATTCACTCATCAGTCCACACTCTCTCTCACTCACTAACTCTCTCTCTCTCTCTCTCCATTAACCATTAGTTTTTTTTTTTCTTCTTCTTCTTTTTTTTATTTACGTGTTTTATAATGTCGCATATACTTCATGTGGCTAACATTATAAAAGCATTATTTTCAGGGAGCTTCGACAAGGAGAGCCGCAAAATTCGCGATTTAGGAAAATATCCTTCAATCAACACCTTACTCCCCTATCAGCTGCAGGATTCCCTTCAACGCAAGGCCTTCCTCCCGCAGGTGTCGTGGATCCGGGTGGGGGACCTGCACATCCTGTCGGTCGGGAAGTACAAGTACAGCACGGACAGCCGCCTCTCCGTGATCTTCAACGAGCCCGAGCAGGAGTGGGTGCTGCAGATCGCGGGCGTGACGGAGAGCGACGCGGGCATGTACGAGTGCCAGATCTCGACGAAGCCGGTCCTCAGCTTCATGGTCAGCATGGAGGTCGTAGGTGAGGCTCCTCGGGAAGTCCTGAGCTCCAGTCTGTGTCTCTTTAAGTTTATGGAGTTTCTAGTGTGTGTTTAGTTTATGTTCTTGGGTCTCTTGTGCTAAAGAACGGCACTGTGTCAAGTTCTTTCCTTTCCAGATTCAGTTGAAAGACATATTATTCTGTATTATAAGATTTATTTACCAATATTCCTCCCTCTAGGTCCGCGAGGGCTTTCTCAGACCAGCATTCCGATTCCGAACACATTCCCAAGAACATCTCGGGAGGAAAAGGTCCCCTCGCTTCGATCACTTTTTTTTCTTCTTAGAATTCCTTTTAAGATATACCAAAACGGTTTACTTTACGGTCTCGGGGAAACTGATGGACCTTCTCTGGCTTTCATTGGTCTCGGCGGCAAGCCTCCCAAGAGATCACTTTGCACCGGAATGTGTATGTAAGACGGCCATGGACGTTTTTTCTCTTCGTGTGTGAGCGCGCAGACGAATATCGCCCTTCGATATCCTCGCTTCGACTCTTAACCTCGCTTTTGCCGTGATAGGATGAGAGAGGAGGCAGAGAGAGGGAGGGGAGAGGAGAGGAGAGGGGAGCAGGATAGAGAGGAGAGGGATGAGAGAGCAGAGTAGAGGTCTTTGACTAGCCCCAACGCGGGAGAGGAGAGGGAGAGGAGAGGGAGAGGAGAGGGAGATGGGAGAAGGGAGAGGGATAGGGAGAAGGAGAGGGAAGAGCGGAGAGGGAGACGGGAGAGGAGCCAAGAGAACCGAATACAGAACTACAAAAAAGACTCTATGTATTTACCTTAACATATGGTCAATATGAAATGGAGGCTGACGAGGAACGCGCGACGGGCAAAAACGTGTATTGGTATACCCAGCGACCGCAAAGGACGCGAGAGAGAGAGAGCCGACAAAATCGGGTCGAGAAGCGTAGTCGAACGCAAAGACAAGACAATAGCCTGATGGGACGCACGAGGGAGACCCCGAGCCCCGCCCACCCAACCCCCAACTAGCACAGAAGGCAGGAACGGGAGAGAAGAATAACAACGGAATGCACACAAAGAGGACGCCAGCTAGACGATTTGTGTCGCATGTGTACAGTGTGGAGGGTGACGATGTCGAGTTATTATTCTCGAAAACCTAAACATATAACGTGTATGTTAGGTAGACTGTTATAACCCTACAATTAACATTTAGAACTTAAAAAAGAACTATAATACTTCCTAAGAAATCATATATAATTATTTTCCTACTTAGCTATAATATTGTACCTTAAGCTCGTTGAAAAGAATGATAACAATCTTATACTTAATATTAACAAATTCCTAATGGAAATAGAGAATGTATTGCTTCGTGATTTCGGACAGTCGTGCGATCTGGTGAGACTTGGACAAGCGCTGTGTGTTGTATATCCTTCTGTAACAACCTGAAATAGCCAAGAAGCTTTAATGTAGTGTTGAGATTTTTAACAAACACTTAATTTTATGAAATATGTTTTTTTTTTCAGTTAATTAAATAGTTAAATATAGCAGTGAGCACAATGGGCAAGCCCTCGACATATATATAACATAATATATGTCTCGTGCTCTCTACTCTCGTCTCTCTCCTCTACTTCTCTCCTTTGTCCTCCTCTCTCTCTCCTCTCCTTCTCTTCTCTCTCTCTCTCTCCTCTCTCCCTCTCTCCGATCTCTCCCCTCCTCCCCTCCCTCCTGTCCAGCTCCTCCTCTCTCACTCCCCGTCCTGCCACCCTCGGCTGTATTGCCATGCTGACCCGACGCCCAATATAAGCAAGTCAAAATAGAGTGAGACAGTCGCAAGCCAGAAAAATATACGAAGATCAAATCAAGTAACTCTCCGTCGTCGTCAACATGATCTACTCTCGCCACCCCGTCTCGCGCAGCCGCCCGTCTCTCAGCTCCCCAACGGCCGCAACGACGCCCCTCCAACCTCCCTGAAAACACCCCACCACCCCCCCCATCATATACAGTCAAAAGCCCATAAGACCGCCAAAAGAGAAACGGAAAAAGAAATCAGGTCCTGCTAACCCCACAAGGATGGAAGACGTGAGACAAGTAGCGGCCCGTAGTCAGAACGGAGAGAGCTACGGGCTGTGAGATGGCATGTACCTTCTCACGAGACATCTCTGAGACAGGCGGAGCAACGGGTACGAGCCGTATCAACTCATATATCATGATGCGCTTCGAACCCTGCACTAAGGATCCCTCGAATCCAGAGAGGGAAGACGAGAAAGTGCAAATAAAGCAAAAAAGTGGAGACGGAAGGCACCAAAGGAGAAAAGGACCGAGAAGAGGAGACAAGAGAAGTGGAGAGTAAAGAAGAGACAGAGAAGTGGAGTGAAGAGGAAACAATGAGAATCTGGAAGTAAGAAACAGAACGAGACGAGAGAGCGACGAGAAGTATGAGCAGTATATCAAGAAGACTCAGTAGCTCAGATGATAGAGAGACGAGAATCGAGTATAACGGGATCAAGAATACGTTAAGAGAATCCAGATACAATGTCGTATCGATGAAATCGTACGTATCGAGCGTGAGAAGTAAGAGAGAGAGACACGGACTAGGAGGCTGAACCGAGAGAAGATAGAGCGAGATAGAGAGGTAAGGTATAGGGGGAGAGTGGACACAGTGAGAGATGCATAAGTCAGATGGGAGAGAGAGAGATGAAGAAAGGAGAGAGAGAGAGAGAAAAGAGAGAGAGGATAAAGGAGAGCGATTGAGATGAGATAGGAGACCTTAAGAGAGAGACAGCGAAAGAGCGAAGAGGATGAGAGAGTAGAGAGAGGGAGAGGAAGAGAGAAAGTAATAAGAGGAGAAGGAGAGAGAGAGAGACGAGCTAGAGATAACGGGAGAGGAGATGAGATGAGAGAGAAGGCATGGAGGGAATGGAGAGGATAGGATGATGAAGAGGTCTTAAGCGAGACCGAGAAGCAAAGGGGAGCGGAAGAGAGAGAGAAGTAGAGAGAAGGGAGAGGAGAGAGCGAGAGCAGAAAGGGAGGAGAGGAGAGGAGGAGAGAGAAGGGAGAGGAGAGGAGAGAGAGAGAGAGAAGGGAGAGGGAGAGAGAGAGATAGAGAAGGGAGAGGAGAGAGAGAGAGAGAAGGAGAGGAGAGAGAGAGAGAGAAGAGAGGGAGGAGAGAGAGAGAAGAGAGAGGAGAGAGAGAGAAGAGGAAGGGAGAGGGAGAGAGAGAGAGAAGGGAGAGGAGAGAGAGAGAGAGAAGAGAGAAGAGAGAGAGAAGAGGAGAGAGAGAGAGCAGAGGGAGAGGAGAGAAGAGAAAAGAGAGGAGAGATGAAGAGAAAAGGGAAGAGGAGAGAGAGAAGGTGAGGAGAGGAGAGAGAGAAAGGGAGGAGAGGGAGAGGGAGAGAGAGAGAGAGAGCGAGGGAGGAGGGAGGGAGGGAGGGAGGAGGGAGGGAGGGAGGGAGAGGGAGGAGAGAGGGAAGAGAGAGGGAGAGGAGGAGAGAGAGAGAGAGAGGGAGAGAGAGAGAGAGAGAAGAGAGAGAGAGAGAGAGAAGGAGAGAGAGAGAGAGAGAGAGAGAAGAGGGAGAGAAAGAAGAGAGAGAGAGAGAGAAAGGAAGAAAGAGAAAGAGAGGAGAGAAAAGACATCCACGGCAGCAGGTAGAGCCGTAACCCACACTCACAAGGAAAATGCAAACCCGCCACCCCCGATGAACGACCAGGGAAGAAATATTCCAAATTATATCGGCGTTTTCTATAATGTTTCGCTCGTCTTTTTTGTATATTTGACTCCTTTTGCAATAAAGGCACGACAAATGGCCAAGGCGAAGGGACCGAGTAAAAGAATCGGGGAGAGACACGGAGGAATAAAGAAAGTGAGTGGAAGGGAACGATATATTTTTTAAAAGAAATGGGAAGAGGAAAAATGGATGATAAAAGAGAAGAACGCAAAAGAAAAGAAGTGGATGTAGTAAAAGAGCGGAGGAAGGGAAATAGAGAGAATGGTGCAAAGAAAGAAGATGAAACATAAAGATGAAAATAAAACAAAACAAAAACAAACTGATGAAAAGACAAAGAAAAAAATAACAGAAGAATGGGAGGAAAAAAAAAAGGAAAACTGAAGGCAGAGGCCCAGATTCTCATCTCAGGAGGGTTAGGGGGGGGGGGGAGATCTTGCATATGCCGTTCAATATCCGGCATTTGCCAGATACGTCGTTTAGCAATTAGAAAGAAAAAAATCTGGTGTTTTTCTTCGTGGTTCGTGCGTCTCTGAATGTTACTTTTACTGCAAATCCCAAAATTTCAGCCTCGCCCCCTCAAAGAAAAGAATAGAAACGAAAGGAAAAAAAAAACTAATACATACACACACACAGAAAGTAAAATGTCATTTAGTTGGGAATTTCTATAAATACTTTTTTTTCTCTTTCCTACGGCTTTGATATCGATTGTAGCAATAATTCACGTCGTTAGGCATGTTTGAGCGCCAGCCATCTCGTATGAATATAGGTACACAAGCCGAGTCTGGCAAGTATTGACCCGAGTGGTAAACGTGACAGTCGTAAATCTTGCGAATTATTCATATGGAAATATATCGACCGAATGTATGAGCTGCATATATGCGCATAAACAGACAGACTGATATCTTACCGAAAGCGATATACATATATTCTCATCTGCGTGCACGATTTTCCACATTTTCCCTTGCCGTGTCATGCACGATATATATATATATATATATACATATATATATATATATATATTATATAATAATATATATATATATATATATATATGTATGTATGTATATATATATATATATATATATATATATATATATATATGTATATATATATATATATATTATATGTATATATATATATATATATATATATATATACTATCTGTGTGTGTGTGTGTGTGTGTGTGTGTGTGTGTGTGTGTGTGTGTGTGTGTGTGTGTGTGTGTGTGTGTGTGTCGAAAACATTATTTATCCCGACATTTTAAAAGGTGCATTGCTTTCTGTTTGTTTACATATTTTAAG